GCCCTCTCAGCCCCGGCCCCCGCAGGCTGGATCCTGATCGATCGGAACGGGCGCCACTTCGGCACGATCCTGAACTACCTGAGGGACGGGGCGGTGCCGCTGCCTGCATCGCAGCGGGAGCTGGAGGAGGTGCTGTGCGAGGCGCGCTACTACCTCATCCAGGGGCTGGTGGAGGACTGCCAGCTGGCCCTGCAGGTAACCTGGGGGCGGGGGCAGGGCTCCGGCTGCACACGGTGGGGGGGGCAGCGGTGACTGGGTGTCTCTGCGTAGCACAAGAATGAGGCCTACGACCCCCTGTGCCTGATCCCCATGGTGACGTCCCCCAAGGAAGAGCAGCAGATCATCTCCAGCTGCTCCAAGGTGAGCGATGGGGAAGGGGCAGGACGGGGACCCTCTCCTCGCACTGTCCTGCGCAGCTCCAACCCCCCACCCTGTGGCTCCTCTCCCTACAGCCGGTGGTGAAATTGCTGCATAACCGGAGCAACAACAAGTATTCGTACACCAGGTAAGGATGCCCTGGCCCCCACCCTCTGCCCTGCCCTGCCCTGCCCTGCCCTGCCCCGCTCACGGTGCCACTGCCTCCCCCCCTCCCCCAACAGCAACTCAGACGACAACCTGCTGAAGAACATCGAGCTGTTTGACAAGCTGGCGCTGCGCTTCAACGGGCGCGTGCTCTTCGTCAAGGACGTGCTGGGCGACGAGATCTGCTGCTGGTCCTTCTACGGGCAGGGCCGCAAGATCGCCGAGGTCTGCTGTACCTCCATCGTCTATGCCACCGAAAAGAAGCAGACCAAGGTGTGGGACACTTTCCCCCCACCCCCACCGGGCTTGGTACATCCGTCTAGGCAAGGCTGACAGGGAGCTGCACTGCACCCCACCTGTGGCCACTTGCTACATTTCCCCCTCCCCAGTATGGGAATTTGGTGCAACCCAGTAGGAGTGGGAAACTCCCCCCCACACCTTGGCACTTGATATGTCCCAAATCTCTTCATCAAGCTCTACACTGGCTTGGTATGTCTCAACCCCCCATTTTATGAGCACTTGATATGGTCCAAATCTCCCCCCCCCCCTTATATTGGCATTTGGTATTTCCCAGAGCGCTGCCTAGGCCTGGAGCCTTGTTTAGACTTCTCCCCCTTCCCATTGATATTTGGTATGTTCCAGATCTCCCCATTATGTTGGTATGGTACATTCCATCCCCCCACACTGACAGTGGTATGGTCTGAGCCCCTGTGTCCCCACCTCTTGTTGATATTTGGTACATCACAGAGTGCTGAGTGAAGCCATTTTTAGTTCCTCCTATTGGTCTTTGGTACAGTCCAGAGCGAGCAGGATTGCACAGCTCCCCCATCCCAAGGGGAGTTGGTATGCCCCGGCCCCTCTGACCCCTGACCCCCGTGCAGGTGGAGTTCCCCGAGGCGCGAATCTTCGAGGAAACGCTGAACATCTTGATCTACGAGACGCCGC